TTATTATACACATCAGGAAAAATAAAAAGACTATATTTACGTAAACAAGAAAAATACCGTACATACGGTAGTTTATACTGAATTTCATAAAAACTAGTACAACTGAATTATTCAGGTATTTTTTCCCTAATTCTTATTATTATGCTGTCTTCAAATTATTTAAAGGTAATTCTGATGGATTTGAGAGAAAGATCATAGAAAGAAGTTGGAATATTTATGTAAACAGCAGGCTAGCATGAGCTAATGTGTTGTAATTTTTGTATTAGTAGTACTGATCACATGTTTGCATTCAAACTGATTTCTGTTGTGGGTACAAAAAAACCAAAACAAAAAAAATATTCTGTTATGTTTGGTCAAATTTTCAAAGAGCCACTGCAGAGGGGCCAAGGAGCCACATGTGGCCCCAGAGCCACGGGTTGCAGACCCCTGGTTTAGGACTAAGGGTAGTGTCACGTAGGTACTGGGGTGTTTAGTTTTAGGGTAKAGGGTCAGGCTTAGGCTGTASAAARAACCAATAAATGAATGGAAGTCAWMGCACAGTCCCCACGAGGATAGWAAAAACAACTTGTGTGTGTGTGTTGTGTGTGTGTGTTGTTGACCTACCTATATTACAGTGCTCCCCTGTCCATCCTTGGTCACACTCACACTTGCCGTCCTTGCAGACTCCGTTCTTGTTGCAGAGAGGGTGGCAGGCCTTCTGCTCACACACACTTCCTGTCCACCCCTCCTCACAGCGACACACACCACCGTAACACATCCCATGGTGGCCACAGTCCACTTCACACACCTCTGTTGGACAGAGAGCCACAGGCGTTAGAAAACACGAGCTGATGTGTGTTTTAGTGCTGTGTAGGACAACGATACAAGAARGTGTAACTCAGTGAGAGTATGAACATTTGTCTGGTTTCTCCCACTTTAGAGTCGAACCCTCACAGACATCTCCAAACGTTGTGGCCCACTAAGATACTGGCCTACATCTGGATCCACAGCACCCTCACAGGGGGGTCAAACTCATTTTRTCCGAGGGCCACATGAGCGTTATGGTGGCCCTCGAAGGGCCAGTTGTGGTTGATGTCGACGTTTCATGTTTAACTTAGACTAAACAGAGTTTTAACACATCCTCCTTTAAACACTGATAAGAACTAAGTGTACAAAATATTAAAAGTAAAACTAAGAGTTTTACACACTGATGAGTTTCTAGTGAGGAGCAGCCATCTTGAATTCTGAACTCTCCCACTTTCTGACAGGGTGATGATCAACATGCATTATGGTAGATGTTGTTTATGGTCAATGCTGCTTTAAAGCAGTTTATTTTCAGACATTAGTACTGAGCTATCAACTGAACTGCTCAGTTACTTAAATCCAACAGCTCAGGGACAGGACAATTATTATTATCTTTCACCTTTTAAATWGATTTTGTTGCATTTAATCATAAATTTAAAGTCAGTGTGTGCCCACCAACACTTAGACACGCCCACAGGTAAGTAGGCCACTCCCACAACACTTGGACGCACCCACAGGTAAGTAAGCCACGCCCACCAATACTTGGACATGCCCACAGGTAAGTAGACCACGCCCACCAACAATTGAACACGCCCACAGGTAAGTAGGCCACACCCACCAACACTTAGAATATGTATATATTACAGCCCTGCCCACAGGCCTGTCTAACAATAACCACACCCCAAAACATATGGACATGCCCCTGGCCACGCCCAGAGCCAAATCGACATGCCCACATTAGGTTCCGCTCCCTTTCATAATTCTGCATTGCCATTTGACTTGGCCATGTGAGGTGTCTATGAAGTCAGGGGGAGCCACTGAGCATGGACAATCAACTCCCATCTCGTTAGGACACTCCTATCTGGACTTTGAAAATGAATGGGAGTCTATGGCAGTCCTACGAAGGGAGGGGCCAAGGTCCACCAAACTTGGTGGGAAGGTGGCTCCCCCGGGGGTAGTATATAATCCAAGTCTGGTCCACTTGCACCTCTTAGTTTTTGAGTTATTAAACTTGTTCCTCTTTTTTAAATGAATGGGAGTCAATGGCAGCTACGTATATGAAGGAAAGTAGCCACATCCACCAAACTTGGCACACATTAAAACTTTAAATAAGATATAAGAAACAATTTGGCGGGCCAGACGGAAGTCACCCACGGGCCACATCTGGCCTGTGGGCCTTAAGTTTGACACGTGTTGTAGAACATGTACTCTGCCTCACTGCAGAACTGTTCAGCAAGTTGGACGCGATGACGCTGCCTGCCAACTTGGCGGAAAAAAATCTTGTAAAAACACGAAGGCTGCATGAGCTCATCTGGTCAGACTGAGCTGAAAACAGCATTTCAACCAAGGCCTCGTTTTGAGTCGTCATAGAAAGGAGAGACTCCAGTGCTAATCACCAGACCTGTCATCATCTCCAGCCAAACACACACCTGTTCACATGTTTATATTTATGTAAGGAATAATGCTTCAGACATGGCAGTGTTGTCACTCTATTACTGTTGTTGTATTAATGTTGTCACAACATTACTGAGCTTCTATAGATGATGCAGTAAGAATAGGAATAATAG